GCTCTAATTCATTAATTCCTAAATTTATCTAGTTCCGGATACTGTACAGGATCAAAGATAATCCCAGGTTTTCTAACAGGGGTTGGTTTTGCAGAATTACTATTTCAGATAGTCCAAGTCGATACACACAGCCTACAGATGATGTGTGTGCTTTAAAAACCTGATATAATTAAGAATACCCACGAACAATATGAAAGCTGGTAGATTGCATGTTTGTAAGGTTATTCAGCACTTCCCTGTAAAAAATCCTTTGTTTCTAACTCGACATGCTTGAATTGAGACTTTTACCTTCTGGAGACTACTCCAGACTCTGGTAGGTTTGTTGGGTGCCCTCTGGCTCTTAATTCCTGAGGGAGCATAACTAATTGGTACAGGCCTTGGGAGGCCTGTGAGAAGGTAACACTGGGTTTGCAGGAGCAGAGAAGAAGGCCTCTTAGGTACAACATTTCAGCACTGCCTGGAGAGCTGGATTTGTGTCTTCTGTAGCTCTGTAATCCTGGGGGAGTATCATAAAGCAGATGTTTTCTCAAGAGGTGATTCATTAATTATGCTCTGAGTGCAATATTTGAGATAGCAGGGTCTACCCTGTGGACGTGCTGAGCAACAGAACTTGAGGAGAACTAACCTCTGAACAGAAGACTTCTCTGGAAAATTGGATATTCAGTGTTTCAGTACTCAACTTTTTATATCTCTTTCTTTTCTCTACAAAATGGGAATAATATCCCCCTCCTTTCCTAGAAATTTTGGACAAGAAATTATTCTGTACTATGTATTCAATCAGTATACTTAGGAATACCAGAAGAAAGCCTATAACAAAGTGAATTTTGTCTTCCCAGCTTGAAGAGTGAAAAGTGAAAAGGTTTGGTGCTCAGTATGCAACAGTGACATGAAATACATTATTGAATAACTGCTCTTTAAATGAATAGCATCCATTCTATGTACTAGACAGTAGTCTAGTGAAAAGTAAGTGAAAATTAAATGTTATAGTGCATATTCCCAAGAGGGTTTTATTAAGGTTTCACAGCCAGTTTTAATTCCAGTTTTCACTCTACTTTTGAGTACTTCATTTTGCAACCTTAGTGTAATGTTCAATGTTCTTTCAACACAGGTTTTTTTGAGTTTTAATGTAAGTAAGTCCTACAAATAGAAGCAATTTGTGCAAAAAAATGAGTGTGTTAATATATAAGTAAGAAATAACTCATGACAGGGCTTTTGTAAATACCTGGATAAATGTAGACAAACCTGTTGCATATCTGGCCATTCATGTAGGCAAACAAAATGTCAGCAGAGAAGCAAACTTAACTTATCAATGCAAAAAAGCTGCCTAAGCAAAGGAGATAATGTTTTTCAAGTCTGTCAGTGGTGGAGAAACTCCCAACTTTGATATTGTCACCATTGGAAAGAGGAAAGAAGTACAGAAATTTGCAGCACATCTAGAAAACTGGGGATTTAGAGAGGTAAAGATGGTTTTGGGTTGCATTTCGGCACAGAGGAATGCTCGGCTGCTGCTCTCCAGGAAGGCATCGCAAGGGTGGTCAACGTCAGGTGTTGACTTTGGCGTAATTGCAGTAGGAAAACTGTCCTGAGAAGCTGCTGTAATGCGCAGGTGCAGCAGTCCATGCAGGCAAGGAGGATTTGTGAAGGGGGCAGCAGTGTCAGAAGGATCTGGCCCCTGAATTTGTCATCTGGATCGATCACAGGCATAGCGTATCCTGAGTTGGAGGGGACGGTGAGGATCGTCGACTCCTGGCTTCACACAGAGCTACCTAAGGGTTAAGCCAAGGGCGTTGTCATATCCAAGGGTTATATCCAAGGGCGTTGGCTGGGAACACGCAATGAGATGCCTTAGTTCTGACAACTGCTTTTTACCCACAGAAGTGCAAACCTGGACCTGCGCTGTGGTATAGATCCGTAAAGTAGGTGTCAGCCTACTAAGACCGTGGATGTTTTGTTGGGATAGTTTGAGAGGTATATAAAATATAGGAAACTTAATTTGTATGTCTGATACATGTCTGCAATAACAGGTAAAGCAGAGAAGCTCCAGTTGATTACTTAACCACTGAGGGTTTTGTATTATGATCTATGGATCAGATGATCCAAGATGTGCTGTCTTTCTCCAGCTGCCTCACCTGTACCCTGCCTCGGCTGGGGCGGCACCGCCGCCGCGCATTTTGCGATGACGTGCTGGCCTTGCCACTCACTGTTGACAGAGGCAAAACAGACTTCCTGGTTCGAAAAGCTCAATGTTTGTACTCAAATGTGCCTTACTGCACCCAAAGTTCAGAACAAACAAGCATACATGCTTCATTTAATGCCTATAGCGAGTTAAATCCAGAGGGTTCGCCGGTTTTTCCGTGCTGTAGCAGCCGATGGGCTGTTTGCTCGTGGTTTTTTTTTTTTTTTTAAAGGGGAGTTCCTACTTTCTGACAGCTAGGAGAAGCCCTGGGCTCGGCTTGCTTTTCCCTGGAAGAGAACTGTGAGGTTTTGAAGGGAAGAATGCGACCGTTCGCTAAAGATGAAAAGGACCGGAGCGCAAAGCTGGTGGAGCTCATGTGCTGCATGGGTCAGTGGCGCGGCCGCAGGTTTGCTTTGCAGTGGAAGGGCATCAGAGCTACGTCTGCTAGCTAGCAGGGCTCTCCATGGGGAAAACTTCTCACCAGAGGCTTTGAATGGCTTTTGCTTCTTAGCTGTGCCTTGCTGTGGCTGTAAGCTGCCTGTCTGCTGGTTCCTTCACTTGGCTTCGCTGTGCTCTACCTGGAGGTCGAGCGCATGAAATACTGTCGCACTGCACCTTCATCCTAACTGGCGTTTTCTTGTCTGTTTGTTTTTTGATTAAAAACCACAAGTGTTTTTTATTCTGGTGTTTTTTTCGGCATTACAGGCGGCAGTTTTCTTCCTTGTTACACATTTGTATATGCCATAGCTATACAATTTCTCTACAAGCGTAGAAAAGAGTAATTGATATTCATATATAAAAGGAATATGGGGAGCAAGCATCACTTTTTACTTCTATTGGCATTTTAATTGAAGGTAGGGTTGAAATTAATAGTCACTACATGTTCTAACAAGATACATGGAAGGGAATTTGGGGGATTTTTTTTTTTTCCTGTTGTCCCAGTAACATTTTCCCAGCTGTAAACGTTTGTGGTGGTTAGTCAAAACCAGCTGAAGGTTACCTTAGGAAAACAGGCACATTGTATGCTTGTGGGCTGGTACCTGCAGTTCAGAAAAGTTGGGTTGCTTTTACAACAGCTACCTGTAATGGCACAGCTATAAGGGAAATTAGTTCTGGATCTTTCATTTCTCTGTTTTTCCGCTCTCTACATCTGCCAAGCCAGGGCTTCTACCTTCCTCGGAGAAATTACTGGTGTTGGAAATACTGCCTTCCTGGATGAAGGCTATAGGAAAATGTCTACATAGCAAAAGGGTTTTTTACTCTGTCTGATTTTTTCCTCACACACTGTGTGTTTTGCTCTTAGGTGGTCTCCTAATTCTCTTTTTGGGTCATTGACTGGTATAGGTCTGCGTGGAGCTGTGAAGAGGGAAACAGAATATGCCAGAAACTTGGAGATCATGAGCAGTATGGAAAAGGTGTTTTGGGAACAGTTCCTGCTCTGTACAGAGCCAAATGTATGAGTACACTGCACAGACTAACTGCAGGACTCATCATCGCAGTGAATGCAGGAATTAGAGGTGTTATAAAAGGATTAAAAAAAAAAAGGCCGAGAAATCATCAGTGGATCTCATATGGAAAGATGTGTACAAGCTTGTAGGAAGCTTCACAGGCTTTTGCTTGCCTTGTTTTTGAGTTAGTTCCTGAGAACTCCTTCCTCACGAGTGTGAGGAGCAGCAAGCAATGCTCTTCATGGCCCAGTGTGTGATCGCAGGCCATTTGGAAAGGCTTCAATACCACACCAGTGACTTGAATGTCCATGGATGTGCACCTCCCATAATTTTTTAGCTACCAATTTTACTTCTGTTACCTTTGACCAATACGAAAACAATATTTTAATGTAAAATCCAGGATGTGATTCAGTCTTCTAGTGATGGCTGCAGCTGACAAAAGGGTCTTGTTTGGCTACCTGAGCTACTTGCTCCTCCTCAGCCGCGCTACAAATAGCCCAAGTCAATGAAACAGCTGCAGTTTTGTTGTAGGGGGTCTTAAGGGATCTGGCTATTTTAGGCTTGCACAGATGGTCCCGGTCCCAATGCACAGCAGCTCCTGCTCTGGGGAGCTCTGGGACCGGACGGCTCTGTAGCAGTTGTACCATCTAATGACCACACCAGGCTTTTGGGCTGGGGGAGCATCACTGTCTCTTTAGCATGGCTGTGTATGGTGTGTGTGCATATATCCCATCCGTGGTGGGATGCTTCCTTACCCTACTGCTCCTGTTACTTCTTCTTGGCATGTTGTGGGCAATCACTGATGTTAACTGCCACACCACGGAGCAAGCTGTCGGCAGTAGCTGGGCCTCAGCGCTGTTTATATTGTGGAGGTTTAAAAGAAACAAGGTGCTTTCTCTGACTATAAAGCATGTTGGAACAAAGGTGATGTTCCAGTCAAAAAGCACAGTGACCAGAAAGCCAGCTTTCATACAGTAAGGGATTTCCTATTGGTAAATACTGTAATCATTTATCAGATTGTAGAGGCTGGAAGTGGTATTTGTAGCTCCTAAAAGCGCGCTTTGATCTTTTTAGTTCATTTTATGAATGGTCAACTTTTCTTAGGAAGTTGTATTTCTGTTGGTGGTGCTCCTATTCCAACAGCAGGGCTGTAGCCCTGGAGGTGTTCACTTGGAACTTCTGCTCAACAACATTCTGCGCTGTCCTGCCAAAAACATTTGTATGCTATTATTTTAATTAGATATTTCAGAGCTTTTACAAGCTATTCTCTTTTTAAACCTTATTAGAATGCTATTTTTAAAGCTGTTACTAAAAAAATCTTCGGCATCATTTTTAGAGCTGTTGAAAACCCTTTTCTTTTTCCTTTTTACCTCCAGATGAACGGGACAAAGTACAGAAGAAGACCTTCACAAAATGGATAAATCAACATCTCATGAAGGTCAGTTGATATTTCTGTGATGTCTGGATGATTGATTATTGCAGCAGTGATCATGCATTTTATTAAATGTTTGATTTTGGTATGCAGTTGCATTGCATATAGTAAGGAAGTCAAACTAGCAAGATGTAAATCTCAAGGTTTCTGTCTTTGAGGAGTCATGGGGGAGTTGAAATACTGCTGTCTGATAACCCTGGGTGATCTGTTTGAATACTTTGCGCTTGAAGTTAAAATGGGACAAAGTTTAAGGGACACTATTTCTTTCTACAATGCTTGGCTTTTTTTCTAGCATTAGACTGCCATGGCTGTAGCAACACAGCTAAGGCAAATTAAAAAAAAAAAAAAAAAAAAGTTAAAATAATTTTTAAGTACTGTGTTGAGGAGAGGGAAGTGACCTTGAGACGGATAACTCTAGATCAGCCAGTGACATCAGTGTGTTTAGATTCATCAGTGGATTAGAAAGAGAGACTGTCTAGGGATGGAAGTCCCTTTTCAACATCTTTCTTCCGAATAAGTAGTGAACTTGGTCTCAGGGACAGAGCACATCAGTTTAACAACACGTACAGCTTTTAGTCAACACAGAACTAAAGGCTGCGAGTTCACCTTTGCTGCATGGTCCTTCAGTTCTAAATTTAATCTGCTGTTTCAGCGCCAACTGTCGAGCCCAGACATTTCTCTGGAGAAACAGATTGTATAATTACTTAACATAACTGGCTTTGATTTCTTTTCAGAGGTTGAATTCACGTAGAAGTCCCATTAAATAAAAACGTATCTGCAAGCTGTCAGAGTTGAGATTTAATTAATGAGTATAATGTTCAGACACTGTTGGAAAGATTTGCTTGTGTTCATATTTAGAGAAGAATGCATTTTTTAAGGGGGGTGGCTTAATTATCTCTTTGTTTCTTGTGGCTGTGCTTATAGCTACTTGATAAATATTGGATGCTGAAGCATACCAGAATTTCTTCAGGGATGTTTTAAATCAACTTTTATGGTTCCTTGAATCTTTAGAGGATGCAGAATTCTAATTTTGCATCTTTTAAACATTTGAAATCAGGGTACCTCTTGGAAATGGCATGACTTTGTGGGCTAGCCAAGCCCAGACATTAAGTTGCTCCCCATTTTTCTTAGCAATAGAAAGAGAACTTTCTCTTGCAAAGCGCAGTTTCAGTTCTTGCTGCCATGACTGAGCCATCAGGATTGCTCCTGACATCAGCCTCCAAGCAGCTGCTCTGCATAACCTCTCTGTGAGAAGGGTGAGTCTGGAGCCTCAGAATGGCACTAAATACTGCTCATACCAATAGGTTTTCCTTTACGGGTTTCCTAGACCCAAAGGAATTGTGCTGTGTAGAAACAGCTGCTCCCAATACCTCATCTATGTAGGCAACTCCTCGCCCTGGTCCTGGGATACCCAAGTGGTCCCATGCTCTTGTTCAAGCCTGCTTGCTAATGAGAAGAGACAAGGAGGCTGCCGACCTGCTCTGTCCCCTTCTGGGAGTTCTCTGGATTTTACTCCAGATTTACAGCATAAGAAATTTATCTGTTGTACAGTACTTCAGGCAAATTAGATTTAAAGAGAAAAGCAAAACAAAACAAAAAACAGAGGAAGATTATCATTAGTCTGGCAGCAAAATGCATTCTCCAAATTAACCACCATGCATTTCTCTTTATAACTGAAGATAATTGTGACTGTGTTTGTAGAGGCTACTGATCTTTTTCTCTATTAAAGATACCCTTTAAAGATACAGGTTTAATTTTCTGTGGGATGTGGAAAACCCCATCGGAAGCTTTTTTGGAGAACAATCCTTTAATACCAGTTTAAAACAATGCCTGTTTTAACATACGAGCAGTGTACCGAAAATTATGTTTATACATACCATTATTTTCAACAATTTTAAAACATGCACAGTCATCGTTGACATACATTTTGCCTCTTGGGAATAGCTTAGAAAGGATTTAGACTCTAAACCTGTAAGGCAATCGGGTGAAGAGTTCATGCTAAATACTTTTGACTTGGTTGACAAGGTCAGTGGCATTAGGCCTTCATCTTCAAATAGTTCTTGGTGTGAGTGATTTTAGAGGTAAATATATACATGTGTGTGTGTGTATTGCTGGCCTTGGTATTCATCTCAGATTGCTCACTTTAGAATTCAAGTAAAGGATTGTTAGCTTACACAAATACAATTTCATAGAATCACAGAACGGTTTGGGTTGGAAAGGACTTTAAAGATCCATTTCCACACCCCGTGCCATGGGCAGGGACACCTCCCACCGGACCAGGTTGCCCAAAGCCCCATCCAGCCTGGCCTTGAGCACCTCCAGGGATGGGGCACCCACAGCTTCTCTGGGCAGCCTGTGCCACGGCCTCACCACCCACCCTGAAAGTAAATGATTTCGTAATATCTAATCTAAATCTACCCTTTTTAAATTTAAATCCATTACTCCTTCTCCTATCACTTCCCTCCCTGACAGAGTCATTCTCCAGCTTTCCTGTAGGCCCTCTTTAGGTACTGGAAAGCCATTAAAAGGTTTCCATGGAGCGTTCTCTTCTCCAGGCTGAACAACCCCAACTCCCTCAGCCTGTCCTCATACGAGAGGTGCTCCAGCCCTTCAATCATCGTCTGGACTCATTCTAGTACATCCCATGTCCTTCTTGTTCTGGGGGCCTCAGAGCTGAACACAGGACCCCAGGTGGGGTCTCACAAGAGCCCAGTAGAGGGAGACAATCATCTCGCTCACCCTGCAGGCCACACTTCTTTTGATGCAGTCCAGAATATGGTTGGTTTCCTGGGCTGCAAGCTCACATTGCCAGCTCATGTCGAGCTTCTCATCAATTAAGACCCCCAAATCCTTCTCCTCAGGGCTGCTCTCAATCCTTTCTCCACCCAGCCTGTATTTGTGCTTGGGATTGCCCCAGCCCACATGCAGGACCTTGCACTTGGCCTTGTTAAACCTCGTGAAGTTTGCACAGGCCCACCTCTCCAGCCTGTCCGGGTCCCTCTGGATGGCATCCCTTTCCTCCAGCGTGTTGACCACACCACACAGCTTGGTGTCATCGGCAACCTTGCTGAGGGCGCACTCAATCCTGCTGTCCATCTCACCGATAAAGATGTTAAACTGCCAAAATGATGGATAGTGGCTTAGCACTTTTTGACAAAAAAATTGATAATTTGACACTGGTTCTTCCATTAGCTGGGAATTTATGTAGCAACTCAGCTTTATCTTTGGGAAATTCTCAGTCTGAAAGCAGTTGATGATACAGTTGTCAATTTTCTGTTCTTACAGCATTATTTCTAGGACCATGACTTGCACGGAAATTAAATGAATCCTTCAGATGCTCTCTCTTAAGACACAAGGGCATATTTAGGAAATACACAATAATGGGTGGAATGCAGGGAAAGCAGCACCATAAATGAACGTACTTTGGGCAGTCACTAGAGCTCTCCTGGTCTATACATTACATTGAATTTAGGTTATAGTTTTCTGCTTTGTTACCTTGGATTTTATACAAAATACATGCAACTCATACATGCTCACAGATTGCTGATAGCTTGTTGCAGAGGAAAAAAAATAAAGGAGAGTTAACCTGTTTCCAGGCATCTCACTAGATTTATTTCAGCTAGTTGTCTAGATTACCTTTTTTTTTTTTCATGGTTAGCAGAGAGAAGAGACCCTTCTGTGTGTCTCGGACCACCTTGTCTGTAGGTAACCTAAGCACCTTAGGTCAGCGTGCTTTATCTGTCACTGTACTATGGTTCAACAAGATGTGGGAAGGATAAAAGTGGTCACAGAAGTTAGGAGAGACTGTGGAAAGGTTAAAGGTGATTACAGAAATTAGGAGAGACTGTGGAAAGCTCGACCTTAATATGTGTGTGGACAGAACCCCTACTACAGACATGGGGATGGATTGCACTTTTCTTTAATTTTTTTTCCATCCTATGTATGTTCTTTTTATCTCCCCTGCTTCCTTTTCTCTCTCCCGTTTCCTTTTTGTTTTTCTTTTCTGTTTTTCCCCTTTTTCTTTCTTCCTCTTGCCTCTTTTTACTTTTTCCCTGCTTTAGTTCTTTCCTTGCCCATTGTAATTAATCTTCCATTCTCTTTCAACCTAATGTCCTTGGGAAAGTACCGGACTTTTATTCCTCTATAGCAGTATATTCAAAAGAGTTTTTTCTAGATCAACAGCATGATGCTTTTATGGGGTACCATCACTTGTTGGGCGGATGGCATGGAAGCCTACTGTCCTTCTTTTAATTAAATTCTGCTTTTAAGGGACTTGCTGAGTAACCACAAACAACATGGCTGAGAAATATTTACCCTTCTGCCCTCTGCTGTCCATCTGTAGTTGCACTGGATTCAAAGCAGAGAAGCGCATACTGAGCCGCAGCGTGTGAGATTAATCCCTTGGCAGTTCAGCTGACCAGTTAAGCATGTGTTTGTGTACTTTGCTAAACTAGAGCCACAGTCATTGCAGAAATATTTCCTGCAAACAATCTCTAGATACGTAGCTTTAGAGATAGATAAGTAATAGTTATTTAGAAAATTCAGCTCTTCTTTGTATACCACAGTTCATGATCAAATGGACTGCCACCACATTTTTTTTTTAAAATGCTGATACTTTCTTTATAATTTTTAATACTTTTTCGTTGGGATGGTAATAGTATTGCACTCATGGAGACTACTGTTTAATATCTGATGGAGAGCTGAGATACTGGCCTTACCTGCTGCTGTGGTATGAGCTTCCAGAGAGAAACTCACATTCCAGTGTAGGGTGGCAATGGGGATCTCATCTTTTAACTTCTCACAATGTGCCTCTGCTTCTAGCGTTTCACTTATCTGCTGTCAAAAAAGTATGTTAAATTCTATTGCTTGCTATAGCAGTAAGTAGCACCTGACATAACAAAACTGGCTAAATTAATGAAAGAAAAAGATTTTCATTGTGGTGTATCATTCACACATGGTTAAAGAGTCTGAAATGAAATCTGATTTCCCTTAAAGCACAGAAATTT